GTGCTACACTTGACAGCTGGAGCAATGAATCCCACAGGGTCATTGGTCTGTGGGGTAAGAGCTATCATGGTGGAAAAGGCTAAGTGAATCCCCTGATACTGGCCCCACCCCAGGCCAAGATAGTAGGTCAAAACCAAAAATCGGGATATTGGTGAGCACAAGGGGAAAGGGCGTTAGCAGAGATTAGTGACACTATTGAGGACCTACAAAATGCAAAGAAACAGGAGCCAGTGGAGCACCAGGGATGAGGAGAGTGGAGGAGGTGTGGAAAACTTCTAGGATTCTGCCTGGGAGCAGGAGAGAGGAGAGAAAGAAGGAAGATGGGAAGGAAGGAATGGAAATGGCCAGAGGGAAGCCTGCGGCTTCTACTAGATGAATGGGTAATGTTTCCTAGGACGGTGGTGGGTATAGGACATTTTGCTATCTGCTTCCTCATCCATCTTAGCAGGTGGGAAATAGTGCACCATGTTTTTAAAAGTCACTGGGACAAGTCGGAGAGGGCATTAGCCACACACAGGCAGGGGTTGGGGGGGGGGTGCACACCGAGGAGGAGGATCAGAGATTTAGAGTGTACCCAATCTCCTGCTGCAAAACCTTCTCTATCAGAGCCAGTAAAATGGGGCCTTTGAGTGCCCTCTGGCAAGAGCTGTTCAGACACCCGGACCTCTCTAGGAGATCAGCCAGAGTAGGATGCAGGAGGGAGAGGCGGCTAGAAAGACAGAGTAGTATGGCTCGACCAGGCATGGCTCAGTGGATCAGCATCAACTTATGAACCGGGAGTTTATGGTTAGATTCCTGGTTAGGGCACATGCCTGGGTTGCAGGCTCAATCCTGAGTAGGAGGCATGCAAGAGGAAGCCAATCAATGATTCTCATCATTGATGTTTCTATCTCTCCCTGTCCCTTCCTCTCTCTGAAATACACACACACACACACACACACACACACACAAACACATATATATATGAGAGAGAGAGAGAGAGAGAGAGAGAGAGAGAGAGAGAGAGAGAGAGAGAGAGAGAGAGAGAGAGAGAGGAACATGAATGGGAAAGAAAGGAAGAAGGTGTGGAAGAGAGGAGGGCTGTTGGAGTAGGGGTTGTGTGGCAAGCAAGTGGAAATTCAACACTTGAGGGCATTATAGAAACCAAGGGAGGGCCAGGGCTGCTCAGTTCAGGGAAGCTGGGAAGCTGAGAAGCAGGCGGCTGAGGAAAATTTGAGAGACAACTGGCTCCCTGGCCTGGCTGCTCACTGGTAAGCGTTGGCTGTGCGTCCTTCCAGACCTTCATAACATGTCTGTAGGTACACATACATGTATTCTCAGACTTTCTATCCGATTGACTAGTTTGAAAAGAAGTTACAAATGTGTATCCAACGCCATTGCTCTGCAGCTTGCTGTGTTCCTTTGAAATCTGTGCATTCTTTTGACTGGGGTGTTTTCATCTACCAGGTGCATACACTACATTGAATTCATCCATCTCCTTCCTGGTGGGAATTTAGAGTGTTCCCAGTGTTTCCCACCACCGCTGAGCATGTGTCCTAATACACTCCATGTACCAGTGTGTCTCCAGAAGATGTACCCGGCAGAGGTCCATGCCTTGTCATGGAGGGAATGGGCGCTTTTTCATTTTTAAGATTTTCTGCTCCAAAGCAAGGGCTCTGAAGCGGGACTGTCTTGGTTTCGATCCTGCTGCTGATCGCTACAAGCCGAATGACCTTGAGCCAGTGGCTGAACCTCTCAGAGCCTGCTTCCTCACCTGTAAGAGGGCGATGACAGCGAGTAGTTCCCTCCTAACATGGTCAGAGGATGTGTTACTCTTTCTCTACAGCGCTCAGGAAGAGTGCTAGGCACATAGCAAGTGCGGTGTAAGTTGTTTTTCCTGGATTCCAAAGGGTTCTTGTGTGTTTCCGCACAGGCCGCCGCTTCCCTCCCCCATGCCCGCCCCCCACCTCCAGTACTTCACAGTGGGCCAAGCACGGGCTTGCTCATAACCTCTCCCACCCTTGGGACAGTTAAGCTCGTTGATTGCCGCAGGCCTGCTGTGTAAAAATGGATTTATGGTTTGCGTCCGCATCCCCAGGATCAGTAGCATCAGTGACGGTGAGCATCTTCTGGGGCGTGCACTGGCCACGGGGATGCCCTCTTCTTTGAACTGAGTCAGAGTGGGGGCGGGGCTGAGGGAGGGGGGCAAACCCCAGCCCTTTCCACCAAAGCGGCCCAGCAATAAAGCTCCCTGAAGCACCCAGCCACGGGCCGACTTGACCACCCGTCATAACGGAAAGGGAGTTGCCACAGAGACACACCGCCCGGAAATGCCACGACTTTTGCTCTCTGGGCCTTTATGGAAAAAGCGACATCCACTGCTGACCACGTGCTCGGGCATCCATTTCCCTGTAGGGTCCTAAGTCTTGTTGCAGAAGAATGGCTGGTGCTTCACCTCCATCCTGAACTTCCATCCCCACCACCCCTCGGCCCACCCCAGCCAGGCGCACCACCTCCCCGCTTCATACATGGAACACGGAGGTAGGTGCTTTGACCCCAGTGGGACAGTAGGCACGTGGCCAGGGCAGGCGGGACAGGAAGTGACGGGAGGAGCGACCCTAGGCCATGACCACACTCCTCCACCAGCCCCCACCTGATTGGCTTGCAACCGCCAGAGGCCCTCCACCCTATTGGCGGGGGCGGAAGCGGGGGCGGGGCGAGTCTAGAAGGGACGCGCTGATTGGCGGGGGGGAAACGAGCCAATGGGAAGGCCTGGGCCTTGATGGCTCCTGGAAGTGGCGCAGTCTCGGAGGCCGCCTCCTGAGCTGCCTGCGGTGGTGGACGTTCTCAGAAGATCAAGGCCTCGCGATCCTGCCGCTGCCTGTGCTCAGGGCAACCGTTTTCCCTGAACCTGGGCTGTTGGGACTTGGTGGCATGAGCTCCCCCAGCAAGGACGAGGGGTCTGTTTGGGGAATGGGGCCCCCCCCGGAGGGCGGGGGGCAGGCCTGTGGACCAGGCCAGACTTTGGGGACGGCCCTGCCGAGCAGCCAGCGCGAGGGCACGTCCCCAGACCTCGAAGGCTTCGAGGAAGAGCGGGAAGTGATGGAAGGGGTGCTTTGGGGTTGCGAAGGCCGACCCGGCTCCCCGGCCGACCTCGACGGGGACACTCTGGACTATCTGGCCGACGAGGCCGCGATGGCCATCCTGCAGCAGCTGACCGACCGGGATGACCTGTGTGTCCGCAGAAACCCCTCCCCAGAGAGCTGCGACTCTGAGGTGTCCACCCTTTGGGCGGAGTCGCAGGCAGGTCCCGGGGGTGGAAGCGCGGGGGCCTATGGTTGGGTGGGATCTCGGCTGCCTTCCACAGCCCGACTGCCCTTCCGAGAGCCTGGGGGAGGCCGGGCCTGGGGAAGCCGCAAAAGAGGAGCTCAGAATAGGTCAGAGATCACCGTGGGTCGCCAGCTGTCCTTCGCAGAAGGCCTGGTGGGCTCGCCTTCCGACTCCGAATCATCAGATGACTTCAGCGAGCTGCACCTGCTGAGTTTCAGCCTCCGTGGCAAGGGGGTGGGCCAGGCCAAACCCAGGGGCCTGCAGGGCACACCCAGACACTCGAGTGCCCACGTCAGGGAGACATTCCTTCGTGTGCCAGGCTCCTTCCTGCCCTCCGCTCCCCAACACCTGGCTTCCGCTGGGGTGAGGCAGGCTGTTGGAGAGCTGGATGTGTCCTGCAGGAAACCCCAAAGTGTGGTCTGGGGGAAGGAGGGGAGCAGGCCCAGCTACCTGCCAGGCGCTGCTGCTGCTGCAGGTGGCCTGCCCCAGGTCACTCCTGCAAGGAAAGTGGCCCAGGAGAAGAAATTCCCAGGGGGGGCCTGCAGAGTTGCCCCCCAGGGTATCTTCCCTCCCTGGGGGCAGAGAGTCTCAGCCCCTGTCTTGGAGCCAACCACCTTCCCCCCAGTCTCTGGGGTGCCGCTGCTCGGGAGGGGAAAGGGGTATTCCTTGGGTCCCGTGGGAACCAAACAGCCCAAGCACTCCAGCGCCGGGCAGAAGTCTGGGGCCAGGAGGAAGAAGGGGTCCCTGCCGGTGTTGGTAGAAGAAAAGGAACTGGAGAGAGACCCAAGCCTAGAAGTCCAAGTGAGTATGAGGCCCTGGGCCTCCCCACTCCCCACCCAGCCCTGCACTTCTCTGGGCGTGCTCCCTCTGTCCCTCCTCGGGGCTTGTCATCAGGCGCCCTGGGTCCTTAGGATGCCAGAACAGGTCTGGGCGGTTTCAGCTAGGGAGCACCCTGAGCTAGCCCTCCATGAGTACTGGGACCATTCTCTGCAACTGGCAAGTTTCCCCGCTGGGGTGGGAGGGAGGGCGGGCAGGGGCATCTGGTTTGGACCCGGGGACCCCTTAAGACTTTGGGCCCCAAAGCTTCAATGTTTAGAACCATTGACTCCCTGACTCCTACTTGCTAGCAGCTCTCTGAGCTGTCCTTGCAGAGGGGTGTGTGTGTGTGTGTGTGTGTGTGTGTGTGCGCGCGCGCGTGCGCGCGGCGCGGGAGGGGGAGGTTGGGGGGGTGCTTTCTCAGCACCCCCCTATTCTCTCTGCCTCCTGACCAGGGCTGATTGAGGGCAAAAGTGCTCATGTGGTCCGCCTGGGAACTGCCTTCCCTATTCCTTGCCTCACCCCAACCCTTACACACACACACACACACACACACACACACACACGCTGTGCCCACACACAAGCACGCGCACACATCCCAATTCCGAATAAGTGAGAACTTTTTATTTTAGCCTCTGACACACAGTCCAGAATGCAGCAGTGGCGACGGCAACAGCAACAGCAGAGCCGCCGGGGTTCCAGGACAAGCATGGCCCTGGGCCCTGAGCCAGGGAGAAGCCCTGCCCAGAGGACCCACACCCTGCAGTGAGTCCCCTGGGTCTGCTGGGAGTGGAGCGGGGAGAGACCAAGGACGGAACCCTCCTGCTCTGGCTCCACCAGGGGCTCAGCCCTGCTCCCTGCCTCCCTGCCTGCCCAGACAGCTTCTCCCACAGGAAATAGGGTGTCTGGGCAGGGCAGGGCTCAAGGCACTTCATCCTCTGCATGGGCTTTGTGCGCAGGGGTGGTTCGTGGCCCTGACCCAAACTGCCACACCAGACACGCACTTTCAGCGGAACAGGGCCTCTTCCGATAGGTCTTGTTGGGCCACAGGGGCTGGTTTTGCCTGCAGCTCTGCGAGCATCCAACCAAGAGCCACACACAGTGTTGGAGACCACAGCCCTGGGTGGGCTGCCCATGGGGAACAGGGAGGCAGGCCCACAGAGAAGGGTGGAGCTGCTGGGCAGAGCAGGGGCAACTTGCTGCCAGCAGAGGGGGGTGCTGCCTCACATTAGACCCAGCTAAGCCCTTCCCACCTCCCTGGGTGCTTTGGAAGCTGGATTGTGTGTCCTTTCCCTCTCAGGTAACCAGGAGCCACTTGGACGCCCCCCAGCGCGGGAAAGGCAGCAGCAACCGCCTGGAGCAGAGGGTTGTCCTCGGGTAATGCTTCCTCTGGCTCCTAGAAATGCAGTCCCGAGCTGGGCTGTGGGATCTGTGTCCAGATCAAACCGACTTGTGTCCGCCCCCTCTCCCCACACCACCAGCACTACCACCGCCTCTGCCGCCACCCCACACCTCAGGGAGGGCATGCACCTTTTCCCACTGAGGAGCCCATGCCGGGCTAGCCCAGGTGGTGGGGCAGGGGTGTCGTTGAGGAGGGGAGAGGAGGCCTGAATATACTAATCATTTCTCTTTCTCTGGTGTCTGCTGGCCTAGTGCCCGGAGCTGCAGAGACAAATATATGACCTTAGACAGCAACTAGGTAAGCGGAAACTCTGGTAGGGGCAGGGGCAGGGGCAGGGCCAGAGTTTGGCGCCTTAGCATGGGGCTGGGGCTGGGGCTGGGGCTGGGGCTGGGGCTGGGGCTGGGGCAGGGGCAGGCTGCAGGTACAGGCTGCCTCACAGGGCCCAACATTCCTGTGGGGAAGAGAACCCAGCAGGCCTGGTCCTGGAGCCTACTGTGCATGGACAGCTAGGTGTGTGGACAAAGAGGAAAGACAGTGTGGTGGGAACTACAAGCACTCTTTGCCAAGGAGAACCAGTCCTAGAGATCTTCTCTTAGGATGGATGTCTAGAGATGCCTCATTGATTCTCCCTTCAACTACTGCTTGCTATGGCTTCTGTGGGTCTTGTTTGTTTGACAAATTCTGAGTGGTTCTGAAATGCCCCAAAGCTTTCGTGCTGGCACACTTTGTCCTGTTTGGAAAACATTTCCACACTTAATTCAAGTGGTGAGTGAGTGAGTGAGTGAGTCAGGCCCAGGGTTCCTTGGGTAGGAACTAGAGGGGGTTTCAGGTTGCAGGGCTAGGCGCTTCCCCACAGGGACAGGGGTTCGGGCTTCTCTATCCCTCCCTCTGGAGTGCCTGCTTATGCCCCTCTCTGTTTCAGCGGCCATGCAGTCCCTGGCTGACAAGTTCCAGAACCTGTGATGTGAGTGTTGCACACACCATACCCCTGCCCACAGCCGTGGCTGTTGAGGAGGGCTGTGGGCTGGCCCTGGCTTGGAGCTCCTCCCCGACTCTGCTCTGTTGGACAGGTGGAACCCAGCATCTCGGTGCAAGAGGAGAGCAGCCCCGGAGCTGTGGCCAAGCTGGTTCCCTCCTGTTCCACATCAGCCAAGGCATCCTCTCCCCCTCCCTTTGCCTCCTCCACACCCCATTTCTCAGCAGCTTCAAATTAAAGTCCCTCTCAAATTCTGTGGTCTCACCCTGGCCGGTCTGGCTCACTTGGTTGGTTGAGCATTGTCCCGTGCACCAAAAGGTCACAGGTTTGATTCCAGGTCAGGGCACGTGCCCAGGTTGTGGGCTTGCAGCCAATTGATGTTTCTCTCTCACATCCATCTTCCTATCTCTCTCTCACTCTCTCTCTCTCTTTCATCAATAAAAGCCTGTTTGTTAAAAAACAAAAAACCCCACAAACCTCTGTGGTCTCTCTTGGGGGCCGGGGAGACAGGTGGAAGAGGGAAGGAACGGGGGGAGGTCTTGGAGCTGCTCCATCTCAGAGCTTTTTCCAGAACAATACCTCTGGCATTCTGTGGTGGGCCTTCTGCCTGTGGGCAGTCTACGCCAGCCTCTGATAGGATCCTTGCAGTCAGACCACCAGACTGCCCCGGGTCTGGGCTCTGCCTGGAACTACCTGACCAAACTAGCTTCTCTCCCCTTTGCCCTGCAGGCCCTCTTGGTGTGTTCTAATCTCCTCCACGTTTGGGGTCTCATGCCATTCATTGCCCATTTCCCCTCCCCTTCAGCAGGAACACAGGACCCCCTTCCAGAGCTTAGTCCCTCTTTCCCACAGTCATTGGGTCCCCTCCCAACTACCCTGCTTTGCTGTCTGAACACCCTTGGTCTCCTCATGGCTTTCCGTAGGTGGCCTTCCCTGCACCTCTACTCCAGCAGGTGTTAAAGAGCACACTTGAGCTCATCTTCCCCCTTCCCAGGCCCAGACCTCTCTGTGGAGTCCTTCCCTCCTGCTGGTGCCACCTCGCGCACATGGAAAACTCACCCAGCAACCCCTCTTTAGCTCTCACCTTTGACGCTCCACTCAGTTCTCCCTCCTTTGTTTCAGTAGAGCGGTGGAGGCAGAAGCCACAGCCCAGGGAATTGTGGATCACAGGGGAAGGTGCGGGAATACAGGGGAAAAGACAGGGAATGAGTGTTGTGGTGGCTACGGGCCAACCTGGGGAAACTGCCTAGCAGAGGGTTCGCTGCCTGCCTGCCCTAGCCCTCTAATGGCCCTCCTCCGTCCGGTTTCTATGGCGAGGACGGTTGATTAGTCTCAGTGTGTTACGTGGTCCCCTTCAAATACTATATTAGACCAGCCCAACACACATGTTCTCCTGAAAGTGGCAGTTCTGCAGGCCCCCCCCTCCCCGCCCCGTCCCTCTCTGCCCCGCGCAGTCTCCCCTACTGTTTTGGCAGGTCACACAAGGTTGAGTCTCAAGCTCTGTGTTCCCTTCCCCCTTCACTGACTGCTGGGAACTGGTTCCTTCCCTTAGCCAGGGCCTGCCAGGGCTGTGCGGGCCTGGGACTCAAGAGGGACACAGCCTTGTGTTTGAGTGAGTTGAGGATTAGTTCTGCCAGTCTCCATTCCCTCAGAGACCGGTGTTAATACCCACATGGCAGGGGCAATGGTCGATAGAACACTTGAGGTTGGGGAAGGGGATCTGGTTTGGAATAAAATTAATCGAGGATAATGTCTCTTGATGTGGTTCAGGCAGTAAAGGTAGTACAATAGTAGAGACCGTGGGATTGAGTGAGCCAAAGCAAGGGTGGGATCTACTTTTTCCAAGGGACATTGTTAAATTCCTGACACGTTGGGTGGGGGAGGAGGAGGATTGTGGGGCTGGGGATGATGAGGAGGAAGTCACCAACTCCAAGGCAGGGCGTCCAGACACCCGAAATGTGGGAGTTGCTGGAGGTGGCTCTGGATCCTACTCTGGATCCTATGGTGTCTGACAAAGGTGCATGGATGGAGTGAGAATGCAGAGGACAGGCCCAGACAGGTCTCGTCCTAGGGGCAGGGAGCTCACCGGGGCATGGGCAGGATGGGCGCAGTGAAGATGGGAAGTAAAAGAGTGATGATGGCGCCTGGGAAATCGGGCAGACTCGGTTCTACCATTCTTCCTCCATATTCTCACCCTGCCTCCATTCCGGGCCCTGTGGCATGAGCTCAGGTGGACAGACCATCACACATGGGATGGGACAAGCACAGCCCTCAGAGCCAGAAAAGAACGTTCGTGGGACGTCATCCTTCCACTTCAAACCCCTTGCTTGAGAAGGGGTTGCGGGGGCCTGATGGCGGAGATCTCCCTTTTCCGCTTCCCGCAGGGAAAGAGATATGAACGAACTGATTCTAAGTGGAGGTGCTGAGGGATTGAGAAATAATAGAAATAAAGAGAGAAGACACAGAGATAGATTTTCAACTGGGATCTGGGAGGGCCGCTGACTTCCTCTGCTGGAGAGACAGACTGATGACCTCCTAAACCGCGCAGCACATATATTTATACTTCAATCCAACAAGGGGTTTCACAGGAAAACAAGGAGCCTGGGAGAGCCCAGGTTCTACCCACTCCTTCCTCCTGGACAAAGGCAAACCAGGAACTAAGAACATCTCCGCAGTCTCAGGGCAGGAGTGCAACTGACATGATTCTGTCAATATCTGGGGCCCAGTCAGCAACAATCTAAAGAATGTCCAGGTGTCTTCCCATCTGGCCCTCTACATTTCACCCTTTCTTTTTTAAGATGTAAACATTAAGAATAAAACTCTAAATTAAAACAATTGAAAATAATGCCAATGCAAAACTAAACTACATAGATGTTATCATTTTCAAAACTTGAATGTCAAGAGCAAAACTCTGGCTATTAAATAATAACAAAACAACATGAGAAATCAGAACTATGGACATATTAACATTTTTAGCTACCAAATGAAAGAAAGTCTCTTTTGCTGCTGGTGTATATTTACTCAGAGTCTTTGGACTTGGTGCGCAAGACTTTGCAGAAGATTGGAAGCTAACAGATGCTAGCATGAGAAGTAGCTTCCACTTCAGTCTTTAACTTCTTCAGATGATTCCATGTTAGCACCACAGTCCTTTGCGTAGCTTTCAGTTTTCTTCTCCTTCTGTTTTGCTGTCAATGGGCAACTCTCAGTCTTTTTGGGTGAAGGGACACAGGAGCTTCTCTGAGTCCATTGTGGTGACGGACGTAATGCTCCGGCACCCGAATTGGCTGCATTGCTCCTTCTTTCTTGCCCTTGGTCCTGGGCAACCTGCAGCATTGCACAGGTGCTGACTGCTATCATGGCAAGGCATCTTCACTATCTTTATTTCTGGACTATTTCTCCTCTGTTCTTGTGAGCTCCTACTTATTCTGTGGCTGGAACAGCCCTATCAGGTCCTCTCTGGGATCTGTTGTTGCAGGAATCCATAGTCTTAAGAGTTTTCTGGAAATATTAACATATTCTCTACCAAAGGTTAATAAAGAAATCTTTTCTATAAATTAGATTTGGGATCCTTTTGACTTTTTCTCAAACTATTTTCCTCTGGCTTATTCTGACATCAAGTGTGTTTTTCGTCCTGCTCATTACAAATGAAAATTAGTTTTTAAAGAAAAAATTTTCTGAATATGTTTCCTTACATAATATTTTCCCAGTATCCCCCCTTTTTTGATTTATTTAATTATTAGGAGGCTTTTTGGGAAAATTTTATAATGCAGTCTTCAAATTTTTAAATTTTTTTGCACAAAAATATGACTGCTTTTAGGTCCATTACATGTTAAGCAATTTTACCATGAAATGAACTACCAATAGAAATTTTAGTTAACACTTTAGAAACAGCTTTTTGTACAATGAAATGTTCTTGAATATTCACTTATTTATCCAATTTAAATTAATCTGAAAACTTGACTAGTTTACTGTCAAATTTAATACCCTAACAACAATCTTAGTTTACCCTGTAAATATTAATGGAAAGAATTATTTGCATCCTTCGAAAGTTCTAGGCATTCCTGGTGGTAGACTGGATTTAAATATATCAGCCACCTCTCTGTTGCCCAGGTTCTGATCTGAGCTGGACAAGTCTCCGTTAGTTGCCTGGGTCCCAATCTGAGCTGGGCATGGGAAGCACAAAGCAGCCATGGGGCAGGAGACCTCCCTCAAAAGGGGCAAAGGTTCAAGCCCCTGCAATGTTGGGGGGAGGGGGGGAGGATCTGGGCCCCACCTCTGTTGACCCCCAAATTCTCTCCTGATGGCCTCCTGCGGCTGTGCCTGTCTTAGGTTGTCCCTCCCTTGAGAAATCTTACCTGTAATTGGCTAACCAGCCATCCTCTGGGGCCATGCAGGGTGATGTGAGGTGAGGTTCTGTCTCCTTGGTAGCTTATGCCCCTATGGCCTCCATGCCCACCACCTGCCTTGGGATCCCCTTGCCTACTGGCGGGGCCCTGGTATTGATCACATGTCTTGGGGAACCCAGGTATCTTCTCCAGGGAGGGCACAGCTCACGCCACTGGGCAAGAGACAGATCCATGGTATCAGCCCACATGAGGCTTCCACCTCAGCATTAGCTGAAAACTTAGGCAACAGCTGTGGGCAATTGGATTGTGACAAGAGGGTCCCTCTTGGCAAAAAGAGCAAGAAGGGCCAATATAGAATGCTTAAGTGCCTTCCCACAGGGCCTTCCACACAGTGGAAGGGATTAAATCCTTTCATGTGCTTTTTAAAATTGCTGTCAAACATTCGAAGAATTAGTTTATAAGTTTGTTTGGGATAAATGTACAATATGCTGTTATAAAATATAAAAAATTATAATGACATTATAGAATAATATCATGTAAGGATATTCTTTGCTTTAATCCATGATAATTCAATTTCAAGCTGGAAGAAATATCTAGTTACTTCGTTTTGCCCTTCTAAAGAGGCCAAAACCTTCATAAAATTTGAAATATATGTATATGTAACATTAATTTTTATTTGATAAAGCAATCACTAGCTGTTTCTGGTCTTTATTAGAATTGTTTATAAAATTATTGGCTTTTCATTTAGCTGAAAACCTTGATTATAATTTGATAATCTAATTTATTTAAGTAATTAAAGTAGGTATCTTCATTTTAAAAATAAAGCAAATTTACTTCTGAATTCACAAGCCACAAATGTTGCCCTGCCTCTAGCTTAATTAAAAATACAGGCGGCTACATAAAGTTAGGATTCAATTACTTATAAAACATTGGCTTCTCATGTAACTTAATTTATATGACATTAATTATATCATAAAAGCTAATTTATAAAGTAACTTAAGTAG